CGATTCCGCTTGGCCGATTTAGAGGGGGTAGAGCCACTCAGAAAGTTGATCGGACAAAAACTCGACGTGGGAACCGAGAATCCAAAATCCCAGGAATTTTAAAATTGCTCAGCTACTGTCAGCTTTTGAGCAGCTGAAAGTCCATTGCAAATCAAAACTGGGACATTCCAACAATGTATTTGTGATCCCCACCCCAAAATTACCCTCGAAGTCAGGAGAGATTGAATCAACATGTAGAAAGTGTTGCGGGAGGGGGGATATTTCAGTGTAATTCCTAGTAATTCCAGGTTATCCCTGCTTTCGCGCATATATATCAGTGCGTAGCTGTATCACGGCCGCATCGATCCTGATCGAAATTCTGACGACGGATTCTTGATGTACAACACAACATTACCCTAACCTGAAAATTTTCTACGATTCGGAGGCGTTTGCAACTTGCTCGGGGTGCCCGCAGACGCGATTTTCACCCAATTTTGGCCACTAATTCATCAATAAGTCATCACCACGACATCCAAATGGGAAAATAAGTATATTTTCGTGATCCTCGTGACCTAACGGATGTTCGTAAAAATTTTTCAGAGGTTGGGAACCATTTCTTGCTGCTCATTGAAAAACTCGTGGAAACTATTCGTCTTTACCGCGGACCACTCCCAATGTACTATTTAAAACAGCCGGTTTTTGCACGCGGAATACCGTCAAGTGTAGAAAAACGCTGTGCAATGGCCGGTGAACTTGTACTCACGGCAGGTCCCGCGTCGCCCTTGATCTGGAAAGTGGAGTCCATAGGGAACTTATCACCTTCCTTGATCGTCATTGCCAACCTACACGCGCGGGTGTATGAGTCGAGCGAACGCACATGCATCGAAGCGCGGTAAACTTGAGCAAGGGCAGTCGAGAGGGGCAAGACAGACAGAAAAGGCAGTGCCACCATGGTGGGGGGGACTCCCGGAACGGGCTCACGAGAAAAGCTAGGGGAATGAGCTCCTTCCGGAGAGAGGAGCCAATCAGAACACCAGGGGCGCATACATTGAACGATAGGAACGCGAGCGGAAAACGACGACCAGATATCGATCATGCGACAAAGCAGCAGCAGTGGCTTGTGAATGCTACGGTACACATGGGGGAACGCGTCTCTCATGTGCTACTCAACGAAGATATGCAGCAGGGATCGAACCACAGAATGACTTGACACTCCCCCCCCCACACAGCCCGCCTGACTACAAACCAACCGCCTCTGCTAGCGCTCCTCACCTTGATGCTTGGTGGATCGAACGTACTCCGGTTGTCTGGTCGCCCCGGTTACAAAAAAGAGGCCGGGCAGCATGAAGACGGGTAGGACAGGGTAGGGGGGGGTGTCGTCAAGATGTGTGTGTGTGTGTGTGTGTGTGTGTGTGTGTGTGATAAAGGGGTAGATGCGCAGCGGTACCCATGTTCAGCGGCGACAGGAAATTAAACCTGACGTCATGCATGGTTTTTCCCACCTATCAAAAACTGACCGCGCAACACCGGACGTACTTCGCAGCCATAATCCGAAGGGTGCGGGTTCGTGAGGCGCACTTAAGAAAGTGTGTGCATCGCAATGTGGGTCGCGGTCAAGGTGCGCATTGACATATCCCCGCCACATGAGTTGACTTGAAATGACGTGGGGTACGTCATCCATTTTGGATCTTGAATCGTCGAGCGACAATGGTGTAACCGCGCATACGGCTGTCGGTAAACAACTGTGCACTTAGGCTAGCATTTTTCAGTAGTCTACGCATCAAAATTGACTGGGCAAACATATGGGATAACATATTAAATCCGTGCTTTGGGGTTACGGTTAGGGCTAGGGATTTAGTCTCTACGTTCCCCCTCCCTATCATTTTTCTAGACACTTCAAAAAAACATTTTTTGGTTCCGAGATTTTCTCGCTCGATAGTGCGTCTTCAAGGGACCACGTGACAAGAGCAGAGTCAAAAGCTGCAAGGATGGTTTGAACAGCAGTAGTCTCAAACATGTCTGCCCATCTCGTCACGCATTGTTTCAGCTGCTTGTCGCTCCTCCCAAGGCCGATCTCACGGATATGCACGTCGTCGCATGGTTTCAGATACTTGTTCAGGGCATACTGCTGTATCTCGCGGGGATTCGCCAGGGTTTCTCCTTTCTTGTAATATCCGAAAACCAATTGCATTAACCATGAACTGAAGAGACATGCACAGGAGGTTGGACCTCCGTCAGGCAGTGTACTGCAGTGTAGCCCAAACAAATCTGGCTCAACAGAAAAACACCACACATGTGGACTGGGATACAAGGGTGTGATGAGAAAAAACAAACACCAATAGTGATACACAGCAGCAGACCTTCCATTCCACGCTCCCACGACACACGGGGCAGTCTCCGCACGTGATGCCCATCTAACTGCTGCTGTCAGGCCGTTACCCACATGACAGACATCACTATATCACACACGAGGTGTCAGTAACACTGCAGGCCGTGAACCTAGACTCGAGTCTTCGCGAGCTTGTGGATGCAAGGAAGATTGGATAGTCCATGGATGAATCTCCATCAGTATTACCGCTGGTACGAGACTCGGCGGGTATCCACGTTGTTCGCTCTACTATCAAAATGATAATGATCTCTTGTACACACGTGCCGTCAAGGCGTCGATGATGATATGCCTGGCTGGCTCACCTTGCGAGAGAGCGGGAAAGGGGGAGGAAATAGGATGGAGCCAAGGTGTGGGCAGGCTGGGCGAGTGCATGCACATCGTATTTGCTGCACTTGCACTCACTCGGCTCGTTGGCAACCTGACCGGCTCTTTATCTATGAGGACAGTCTCAGAAGATCTTCGACCGGTCATCGACAGCTTTCTAGAAGGGTGGGCTCGTGGGCTCTGCTGAGCTTACGCTCGGGTAGTTGGCAGTTGGGAGCAACAGCAGTGCGCTGGCTCTAAAGCGTGCCCCGTGGCAACACGAGAGTTGGCTGATGACGACCAGTTCGGAGTATTTTTGTAACATCCCGCTTCCGAGGGCGGGTCTCTCGGCAACGGCAGTGACAGCAGTATGAACACAGCAGAACACACACACGATTTCTCAACAGCAGAGAAGAGTGGCAGCGCCGAAAACGGCGGCGTTGAAGCCGTCTCGCCCAGAGCCGAGAGCCTTCTTACCGAAAATGTATCGCTTCGACTGCTGTGCATCCCCTTCGCAGGGTGTGTGATGCCTTTCGTAGGAGTATTGTTACGGCGGTGGTTCCACCCGACTCTGACCCACTAGACAATCATGCATGCATCCTTGCGCGTGGCGTCAAGACAGAGCACTCACTCAGGGGATGCAGGAAAACTCGAAATGCGCGCGACGTTCGGGTTTGATGATGCTGTTGTGGTCAACCATTCGGATTGACGGAATGAAGTGTCTGGCTCTTTCGGCTACAACGGAGCGGGTGGTCGATTGTGGAAACTAAAGATCCTGGATGAAAAAATTGTGCCAACCACGGGTAGGCGCCCAGGCAGTCCAAATTGCTACTGCTGTATCTATCGTTTGCCGCCATCATTTTCATTTGTGCTTGTATTGGGAAGGAATATCCAGCAGTGAGGAACTGTTCCAGAAGGAATCCCAACAAAGAGAGGTATATGCGTATACATGCACATGTACAACTGCCCTCGTGGTTCGGTTGTGGAATGTCTTGATGTCTTGTTTTTCGTCCCGCCAATATTGCTGGGATTTCCACGGAAAGAGCCCAAGTTATCAACTCGATTCACCACCGTTGATGCGTGCATATGTTACCCCAGAGGGAATCCACCCAAACCATCAAGAATCTCGAACTCGGGAGCAAGTGCGTCTAAGTGCAAATCAGAGAAGGCCTTTCCAACATATGGCAGCCGGCCGCCAGGCGCTCTTACTGCACACCTCACAGAACACCCCCTTTTTTTTGTCCCGCTTCTCCGCTGCTCTCATACCGCGCCACGCGCCAAAAGATTACAAACATGCATGACTCACAACGCCGCTCATTTTGCAAATGAGTGCATGCACAGCACAGAATGACCAAATGTTCATCCAGCGTCATGAATCTTAATGCAACCGACCTCATTGCTATTACCGTAGGGTTACTTGGAGGGTGATCTACACATGGGCGAGCGAAATGGCCGACGTGGGACCTAAACGTGGTCCTCCTCCTCCTTGCTCAATCAAAGCGACAAAGCTCTCACCCGGCCGACAGCCGAACTTGCCACAAAGCCCTGGGCGGAACGCAACGCCACGCAACCCCCCACCGCACGTGCGAGTACAGATATCTTCATATTTGCGGTAGTTTCTTCGCACCGTTGAAAGAGATGACAGGTCCTTTGCGCGCGACGAGAACAGAGCAGCAGAGAGTAAGAAGAGAGAGATCGCACGACGACATCGGCGCCAACAGCATGAAGAAATAACTCGTTAGATTGAACTCCCAGGGAGCGGGGAAAAAGTTCGAGTTGCTATTCGGAGACGGTGGTGAAGTCTCGCCGCATCAATCTCGAGACGCCTCACGTGCGTTGATGGACACACCGCGCTCCTTTTCTCTTCCTACCCCGTGTTGCTTCGATCGACCACCATTTCTCCTCCAAGAGGATTAGATTTAGAGCACCTCAAAATCCATCCCGTCCGTACACCGCTTGTAGTATTACTTCAACAAGCACTCTCTACACACGCGCGCATAGGCGGCAACCTGGTAACGTGGCAAAGGTGGTAACCTAATTTCGCCGAACTCTCGCAACGGCCGGGGCAACACCTGCGCTCGATCCAGAGTGCCAACAGGAGGCCTACATCACACTGAATATTAGGGGGTTTCCAAAGATGGGAGGAGGATCACCGCAGAACCAGCGATCAAACCGGACGAGAGCGAGAACGGCCGGGCCGGCGGTATCCTGCGCCGCTTCCGGTGGTCGAAGGACAAGCGGGGGAGGCGTACTACGAAAACCAGCAACAACGAGAGACTCGTCTACTGCCGCTGGTCATGCTTCAGGCATTGCTGGCATCGGTATCAAAATGAAGAAGAGTGACGTTCGGTTTGGGAACAAGGAAGGAGGGGGGACGAACTTTGGGTCTGAGGAGAGGTTTGCCTGGCAGAAGTGCAAGTACGCCTCAGATGCCATGTACACGATACCGGATGTCAAGGCTCCACCTTTCAGCTTTGGGACAAGCACCCGGGCCGACTGGAAAAAGATCATGGAGAACACCAAAGACCTCTACAATCCAAACTGTGAGACGTTTACACAGAGTAGATGCCGATCCATCCAGGTTACCTCGCCCAACGCTTTGAAGAAACTTTTGCTACAACAAGTTACTGATGCCATTCGCCTCCGGCAGCCTAGTTGGTATCCTCGAAAACCATCAAGTGGCCAGGTTCAGGAGTTCGAATCCCGGTGAAAACGAGTTTTTCTTGCAAAGTGGGTTTTTCTCTCGCTTCCGTCCCTGGCCTAGGAAAGCGCTTCTGTAGTCCGTGTGTACACAGAGGGAAGAGAGTACTGCACTCTTCTCGCATTGATAATCGAAGGCAAATTACCGCAGCAGGGGTGGGTAGGGGGCCTTCAGGGAGAGGAACCCTTTCGTGTGGCCACGGGTTGCAGTTAACGGCACAACAAGTGCTGTGAGCGCTGATTTAAAGTGAAGACAACAAAAACAAAACAAAACAAAAACAGATACGCTCACGCCGAACAAGTGGGTCGAGTGCGTGTACTCCGATATCGTAGTGGAAGGAAGCTCCGGGTGGCCTCTCATCAGTTTGACATGTTATCCCTAGACACCACACCATTGAGCCCCGGCCGCTTCACACCAGTACCGCAGTGGCGACACCTCGCAGATAGTTCATCTTAGTGATCACGAACGAGGTTGCGGTTTTTCACTTACAAGCCGGAAAAATCGCTCAAGCACGCTACAATACGTACTACATGCAGACTGAGGTCTCTACATTTAGTCAATTTCATGAAGGAGGGAGCTTTGGAGACCATCCTGGGACCAAACTCTGTCGAAGAGCATGGCAAACCTGTGTTACAGCCTTGACCTCGACGTTGAATGTCCCCTCTCCATCATTTCCTGGTTGTTAACGTCGGCTTTTCTTCGTGCCCGACGTCATGAAGCCGGCCCGGCGAACTATAAAACGGGGAACGAGTACGAGCTTCTGTCGGAGTCTCCCAGCAGAAGAGGTACGCACGTGTAAGACAGATACCACGTGCTATCTTCGGCCTGTAGTGAGAGTGGTGATGATATTTGAGTCGAGTGCCAAGAGGGAGGAGTATTCCCTGTCACGTTCGGCGGCAGTCGGTGTCTCGACGACAGTCAGTCGGTGTCTCGACAACAGTGGTAAAGGCGTTGCCAGATCGATAGCGTGCGATGTTCTCGAAACGCGAAGACCTACACTGAATCTCCCATAATAATACACTGTGCTCGGTGGGGTGGGGGGGTGGGATCACGTTTGGTCTGCGGCGGCAGATATTACGTTCGGCACGGCGGCGAGAGAAAGCATGCACTTGATGACAGCCTCACCAGGAGTCCTCTACAACGTTGATGGAGTGTTCCGAAACGGCCCGGTGAAGGGCAAGATTCTTCCAGGATTCAACCTTGACAAGCGGAAGCCGCTAGCGGAAAACACGAAGTCCTCGACGGGCGCCATGTACTCGCCCAAGCTCGCGAGCAAGGTGAGACGTGAGGGCCTAAATGTCAAAGAAACTAGTTCTTCCACACTTGGAACGGCAGTCCGTTGTTTATTCAGCTTTCGACGCTGGACGATGGGCTCAGCTTGCCTGTGGGCTGTCAAGGGGTTACCGTTTTGTCGTCTTTCTGGATTGCTGCAGGAGTGCTACTTTTCGCGAGTGGCGAAAAATTGTATGTTTCACCCCGCTCGGGTTTGCATGCCTGCGACCACGCAAGATAGTTGTTTTAGCTTGACGGGTAAGGAACGAGATATGGTGGGTAGTAAAAAATTGTTCTGTGTGACCACGACAGAACAGGGAAAAGAAGTTCTGCGATAGTTGAACCGGATGTTTCGATCGAACGTGCTGTGTCAAGAATGCTTGAGCCGCACGAACAGGTATCAGGTATGAGGGGATCTTTGTTGTGCGCTTGCGTTCCTTCTGTCGCCGATAATATGGGTCCACGGCATGATGAGCGAATATCTGCGAAAGTCTTCTTGACAACAACCTATGGTGTAGAAGAGCCCTCCGCAAACATCCATTGGGTAGCTTTTGTGATAATTCGGGATGAACGACAGACTCAGACAAGTCGTTGCCTTCACACAAGGCCACCCTCAGGGCCACCACAACAGGGTGTCTGGCCCGAAAAAGTGTTCCGTGAGTCCATGTGTTGTTGGCGTCGCCTTTGATGTCCTTGCCTTATGCCGTACACCCTTCCCCTATTCCCGCGCTAAAACAAAGGGCGGGGCTGTTTGGTTCGGCGAAAAGGAGCAGGAGAGATTTCAGGGGACGATAGAAGGGATCGGGCGACGATCACCGGGACCAGTTTGTGAGTACCCTCCTTGCGTCTCTGAATCTTCGTTTCGACTATGCGACACTGAAAAAAAACGTGGCTCCCTTGTTGCTTGCTGACCGCTCTTGGTTGCCTCAGCTGGGCTCCTTAGGATCTAACTCGTTTCGTTTGAAATTGCCTCTTCGGAGAATATATCATGGCTAAATTTTATGCGCTGATGCTTCAAGCGCGAACGGCAATAGGATAAGGAAAAAGTCAAAATCTATTGGAGAAGGGGGACAGATAACACTGGGTAGGTAGCTATATTCGGGAAGCTGCAAGAAGACCAGATAGGAATGAACTTCGGTGCATATCCGATGACCCAATGGCCTTTGGGAAACAACTGAAAACAAAGAAGCGAGTCGGATACCTGGAAATGCCAGAATGGAGCAAGTTGTAGGGGAGAAAGACAACGCTAAGGCAGGCAGTACAGGCAATGTCCCGTAAAACGTTGCAGAAGAACGCCCCCGAGAGAAAGCAAGGAAACGCAATGGATTTGACATGGATATTTTGGGACTTCGAACGACCGTGAGGAACTGATCGACAACACGGGCAACTGAGCAGGAATTTTTCTGTTCATTGAGGATACCGGAACCCGTGAACAGCGGCAGACTGTCAGTGGTGTGTTTGTCAGGAGGAGTAAACGGTGGTCAACGGTCAAACGGCTCAGAGAGGCAAGAGACAAGTGACCTCCCTCGCCACTGCCCCGCCCGGTGCCCTTGTGTCCATGATCGGTCCGTCGCAGATGACGTTGCGAAGTATGGAGGCCCAACAGGCCCCAAGTTTTCGTTCGGGGCGTCGCGGACGGATCGTTGGGGCAACATGCGGATGCCAACCATTGCGTAGCATCAAGGATGCGTGGCTCCTTGTTTGGTTGTGGCACTGGTGTTGTGATTGTGTTGTTGCTGTCATCGTCGTCCCTGTCCCTGCCATTGCGAAACCATTCTGGCCTTTGTCGAGAATTTCCTCTTCCGTATTGCTCGAGCCAAAGGACGAACCTGTGTGGCAACAAGCTGACCGCACGATGTAGTATCCCTGTGGTACGTTTTTATCCTCCAGGCGAAATTATGTTCACGTGTCACTTCGCCTGTTTTGGTGCTTCGGGACATCTTTCGATGGCGGAAGTCAAGCTTTTCTCACGCTTTCCTCTCAGGGGCACACAGGGGGGTCATCGATACATTTCCGCGCACGCCCGAGGACCGCCAGCCACCCGTAGCGCTTGTGCTCGACGGCCGAAGTTGAAAATACTGGCTCATACCCCGGGGACATGTTGGGCGCCACACAAGCCTTCGGAGGATTCACAAAAAATCGCATTCATCTGCACAAGGGAACCATTTTGACAGTTCGTCTCCTGCGCAAGCCACACACGTTTCCCACACCATCATGAGCAATGCTGTATAACAACACGAGGGAGAGAGAGAGCAGGAGCCAACCAAAGCTTGAGAAGATTGCAGCGATACAGGATGGGGCGGAGACGCTTGCGCAGCACTTGCTCCATTCTCTACATGAAGGAATCAGACAAATCCAGCTATGTTCAATCATACCGGTTCAGAATTTGGCACTGGTAAGCTGAGAAACATGCCTGGCAACGACAACAGCAACACTATGCCCTCGAACTCGCCGAGTACAGACAGAGGGCTCTGGCATTCGTAAGCAAAGGGTTTGTACTGACACACGACAACGACTAAACGTGCAGAGAAAGCTTCAGCAACTGAAGTGCTTGCATTTTCGGCTACTGAGCGCATACGAATACTACTTGTCCCTTGACGCTCGCAGTTCTGAGCTACCTTCTGCTTTGCTATCGCAAGTGCTTTGACATCCGTGAAGATGCGCCTTCCTTTTCTATCTATAACACCCAAGCACAAAAGATGCAACCGCGATATTGGTGAATATTTTTACGGTAGACGTGCCAAGTTACTTATACGTATCGGTGCTAAGCGCGTGGTGCACCCGGAGCTGTGTGCACGCACAACAAACCCCCACCGACCAAAATCGTACAATCCATTTCTCCAGACGTGAAAAATATCACCATGTCATCCGATCTTTACCGGGCAAGGACCCACCCCAGCAACAACCTAGCTGCACCCCAGCAACAATCTAGCTGGCAACAAACTTGAGCATGTGCACTACAGAGTAGACAGTACACCCAAAGTCCAGTTTAGGGGCGTCGCTGAGCTAGTCAGGCCCCCAAACCCCTCCGTGTAGCTACACCGGTAGCCCGCCACATGCTTAAAAGGGCGGCAGATCATCGTGTGTGTGCAACTGACCCCTCCATCGTCGAAAGTGGGACTAATAAAACCAACTGGGCGGGCTTGTGGCAACGACAGAACATACGTTTGTAGCTCAAACCCCGTCTTCCCAACCTAACTTGTCTAGGTTTTACTTCGTACATGGCGTTCCACTTGCCACAACCTGAACCTCTAACCACCCGTATCTTTCGATGTCGGCAAATATGGAAATCCGGGCTGACCCTGTTAAACACCGTGCACCTCATCTTATGGCTAGACCTACACGTTCAATTGTACTTCAAATTTGTCACGAATGACGCCGCGGGTAGCGGATGCTCTTCTTCCTGTCTGGACACTATTTACTTCGCGTTTTTCAGTCGTTTTCTCAGGATCTGAGCCGCAAGCGGAAAACACGTGAAGCGTATGCACCAACGCACGCCAGTGGGAAATTGTCTACTGCTGTGCATCATGCGTAGGTTGATGCAGCACATGACGACCGGAAAGGACTGGATAAAATGCCATACACAGCCGTTGCTATTCTAGGCCTTGGACCTGCGGGCAGCAGCTACACGAAGCACGCAGCAGCCAACAAGCCTGGGGGCATGTTCAAACTACACACACAATCAATCATCCAGAGGACACAATTTGGCATTTATGCGAATAACCTAAATGAGACCTACTCAAGCACCCAGCAGGTACCCGACTTCGCCAAGAGCTGGTTAATGGTGTCGATGCTGGAAGTGTCGGAGAAAGGGTTGGTCCTGACCTGCACGACAAAATCCTCATCCGTTCCCTGATTTGGTCGGAAATCGCGTGAAAAGGGGAGGAACCAGCGTGTCGTCAAAAGTGTTGGATTCCAAGAACAGGGACATACGCCAGTCGCGTGCCCCCCAGCCTGCCATCTGCAGCTAGGAACGGCTACCACGTATCAGGACAACGAGAGAGGAACCGCGGAGGATATACTGCACCGCACACGCTTGGTCACGCGCTGGTTCGTGGGTATTATTGCTGTTCTGACGACAGGTTCCGTCAGAGGAGGCACACAGCTCACCAACGGAGAGAATGCACGGCAAAGCGTGGGATTCACAACAAGAGAAAAACCCTCACGATATCGGCCTCACAAACACCCACTTTGTGGTCTTGGTTGGGCGGTGGCGGATGCTTCAGAGTCCGAATACTGAAGATCCGTAAGGTTCATGTGCGCACGAACTGCTCCAAAAAGCACAAAGAAGCTTGTCGCCTCTGAACCATCGAGACCGCTGTAGCTGCTCGTCCTTGATAAGCTACAAGTAGTTGCATCCACCACTACCAAGTTACAAGGATGTTCGCTATTCACCACTTTATCGTTTCAACAGGCTTCCGACGGAAAACGTTGCCAGCATGATACTCGATTGCAAAACTCTGTTTGGATGAAACAACGCGTTTCTTTTTTAAAGCTTTGCTTACGCATTACCAAGAACTTGTGACGATCCAATCGATTGGACGAAGAAAAAACAATTGTTTGCTTGTAAAAATGCCGTGGGGACGACAAACCAACCCACCTCTGGGACCTCCACGATGCAGTCTCCGATCTCGGCGTCAGTGTACCTGATCACGTTGTCTAGGGTGAGAGGCTCCGTCGATTCCACCAGGATACGCGGTTCTTTAAGTGTGGAAAACACGAAACAGAAAAATAACGAACCGCAGCGGTCGGTGTTGGCAGCAGCACCGGCAGTCATGGCAACGAACGATGGTTGATGGTGATGACCTGCGAGCCATCTTACTACGCCTCTCTGCGGTCGATCCCTTAGTCCACGTAGCAAACGCCCCACCGAGCAAGAACATGTTTGGAATGCGCTCTGCCAGTCACACGTGCGTATTGACCTCGCCAAACGCTACAAACACTCACCCCAAACCTATTACTCCAACATGACGCCGACACCAACTTTTGTGAGTAAGACCACAACAACAAAAACGGCGGTCTCACAAAATCAGCAAACCGCGTTCGTGAAGCATCCTATAACTCGAAAGACAGGGGGTATGCAGGAAGTCGCGAGGTGTAGCTGCAACGCACCAGCGCCGGCGGCCACAATGAAGTTCTGGAAAACGATGCCGGAGGAGTCGCCGGTGACCACGACGTTTGCCGTCTGGTCGCCCCCGGCAACCGGGGGGCTGAAATACGCGCTGGGGATCGCAAATTCGTCGACGCCCTCGAAGACGATGTCGTTGCACGTGTCGATGAGCACTCCGGACATGTTCTGCAACAACGGTTGTAATTTAGCCAACAGGAAATAAGACATGTGGCCGTGGAAGGTCGTTGTTGTCGAAGTTGGTGCTTCGGTGGTGCGGTCGGCCATATATCGACTTCATGGCCTGCGCTTGTCGGAGTGGATGAGCATCGAAATTCTGTAAGCGAGCGACTGGTGGAAGGTTTGAATGGGTACGTTAACTCGGCTGATGGGCTGGTGATGGGTTCATGGATCGGATCTCGAGGCAGATACCATACGCCGTTCGAAAACCTCGGGGGGAGGAATCAGATCGGTTTTTCGAGACGAGTCGACTCAATCAAGAGTTTTGTTTTTCTAACGAAGGATGGTACCTATCTCCATGGCTACAGCAACGGGCAAATCGAGCATGCAAATCGAGCATGCAATTCAAGCATGGACAGACACAAAGAGAGAGGCTGCAGGGGAGGCTGACGAAACCGTGAATGTTTCGGGGCTCAAGCTCGAGGCATACATTGGGAATACGCACAAACAGAACGCGCTCGCACTTCGGAACGTCCTATTTATTTTGCCCCCGAGTTGTCATTTTTTCCGTGTGGGGTAGCCCAATATCTACTGTGTAGGTTTGTTGTCTTAGAGTCTTCACGGAGTACGGTACCTATTCTTTTGGCGCGTATATACCCACCTGTGTATCCGAAACGACGATCACGCTACAGCCGCGAATAAGTCGAGCTTCATTCAATGTTCAATTATGGCTTCGAAAAATGTACAATACATTGCAAAGTAGCGGGATCAATTGCACAGTACATACAACGCAGAATAAATCGCAGAGGTGATGAATAAAAATATATATAGTCTATTGCAGAGTTACACATAACATACTTCATTGCAGAATACACGCAAACCAGTACGTGCAGAGTAAACAGCAAACAGATACATACCGGCAAGGCCCTGAAATGGACATCATCCACACGGGTGAGCTCCATGTAGTTGCCGGTCTCGAGTCCATCGCCATTGTAGAAAATGAAAGCGCTGTGGGAAAGGAAAGAGATGCGATCACACGGGTAGCATAAGGCCGTTGCCATAGTCTTATGGTGTCAGTCTTTCCGCTTCCAACACACGTACAGTAAGCCCCGCCCGCGTTTGAGAAGCGTCAATTTGGAGTCGAGGCTCGATATTTCGTCACCTCAGTACAGGTTGGAGGTTAATGTTGGATCCACGGCTGAGGTGTGTTTCTTAGACATTTTTTCTAATCTATCGCCGAAACTTGAGCCTTCCTTAGTTCCTTAATCGCGAGCGCGATGTGAGGCGTTTCGGCGAGAGGAAAAACCAGGTGGAAGGGCGAAATCACGGACCATCGGAACGGTTGCTACGACAATACATCTACTTTGTACCACTGCTGTACCGCCCGTGAAAGAAGGCAGCCAGCAGCCTACGCCAAGCACGACGACAGGAGTGTTCGTTTTGATGTGGGATTTCCCCCCCTCGTGCGGATCGATTGCGCGTCGCTGCGACTTGGTGTCGAATGGCACGCGACTTGGAGACAGCAACGGCCATGGTAAAGCCACAACCCCCACCACCACCAACAAGGACTAGCAACAATGAACATCAACCACAATACACAACAGCACCAGCAACGTCATCGGACAAGCTAGACGCCCCAACACAAAGCGCACAGGTCAAAAACTCACGAGATGGATTTTGGGCTCACTCAAAAACTTCCTACCTCATGTTCCTGGAATCCGTGAAAGTGGCGCCGCCGTTTCGGCCACTAAAGAGCCCCATTTCTGAGAATCGGATGTCCTACATGGAGCCAGATACCAAGGCATGGTAGGAAGAAACAAGGCAGGTCAACAGCGTTAATAGAAGAACGAAGCAAAAAACAAAAATCTTCAGTTGTCTCCCACGGATTTGAAAGAGTTTGCTTCCCTTCGTATAAACAATCTCTCAGTTATCTGCCATGAATTTGAAAGAGTTTGCACAAGTGATCCATTCGTGCTCGACCCCGGGCTTACCGTTTTGCTGCTGCCTTGGTCCCCGTATGGAGCACAAAGTGGCGAAAAACCAACCGGGACTTGCCTACGTATCTGCTACGGTACCAAGCATGATGCTCTTGGGTTGAGCAGCGCCGCTCGCATCCGGTAGTCTACTTGCCGCCGCCGATCTTCAGGAGTTTGCACTCCTGCTGTAAACGTATTCGAGACATTCCTGGACTCCGTTTTCTTGCTGACCCCAACCCAGACGGTTTCGACGCCGAGGTTATCACAGGCCCGATCCCGTCCCGTAGGCACGAGAAATATGGACCATTCGCTAAGAAATACGGTACCTGTTTTTCCGGATGAAGCCAGCAAGGCCTACTCAACCTACTGTATCGCCATTTTCGACATATCAATCGATCACCTGCGAGTTCCTGACAGCCAAGTTGGTGTTTCCGACCGTTCCGGGCACGATGTCCCCCGTAGGGTCCTCCTTGCGGACGAACGCCAAACCGTAAAGCTGCCGCATGGGATAGCAACAACACACAGGGAAGGCAACAATGACAAACGGAAAACTCTTTGGTCAAGGGTAGGTCGGTCCGGAAAATTGCTTGGCCAACACAACAAAATGCGAAAGGAGCGGCCGTCGATTTATTTCTTCTCCAAAACGAGGGGAAAATACCATCTTTGCGGCTGCCCAGACGCGGGAGGTAACTTTGGCTACAAGGCTAACGCGCCGGTGGGAAGGGGGAAGGTGGTTCGGCCAAAGGTTAGGCAGGGCGGGTCCGAAACGAGAAAGGGGGACGGCGTCCTCTGCGATCCAAGATTTACCCGGCCAACTGACTGTTTTTTCCAGCGAACATGCTTCGGAACCACCCGTCTCCTGCACAGAGAAGTTTCAGCGGTCGGGCTATAAGCACAAGGCGAACGAAGGCTTTCTTTCGCCTCTTGTCCTCCGAGAACGAATGCCGTTCGTCCTCCGAGAACGAATGCCTTTCGTCCTCCGAGAACGAATGCCTTTCGTCCTCCAAGAACGAATGCCTTTTGTCCTCTAAGAACGAACGCCTTTTGTATTCCAAGAACGAACGCCTTTTGTCCTCCAAGAACGAACGCCTTTTGTCCTCCAAGAACGAATGCCTTTCGGCCTCCAAGAACGAATGCCTTTTGTCCTCCAAGAACGAACGCCCTTTGTCCTCCAGGAACGAATGTCTTTTGTCCTCCAAGAACGAACGCATTGTGTCTTTCAAAAAGTTGCCTTCACCCTAGAGGAATAATATAGACTCGTTGCGCGTTGCTTCACAAGGAGACCGGTAAATCTCACGAATTTCTTCGCTTCGCGGGTTGATTTCTGTCCGCGTTCGTCCTCCGAATAAACTCCGAAAGGGGGACAAGGTGGTATCAATCAGGTTTGGGTAACTCTCGACCCGCTCGGCGTCAGGCCGATGGTCGGTCGGAGGTATACGGGACCGTTGTCGACCCAGGAGGGAATCAAAATCCGGGACTTTGCATGTACTGTCGGAAAAGCCTCGCCGAATACCTCATGGCGCTTCGCGCTTGGTGATGTGAGAGCCTGGTTCGGTGAGCAACCGGCGTGCTCCGTCCCGGGTTTGTAGGGATGCGAGGTTTTTTGTCAAACGACTACAGGCATGCATGGCTATGAGTACACCCCCCACCCCCCGGTGTTTGCCATCGGGATTGGGTTTTCGTCGCTTGGCAAAGACGTTGTAAAACAAGTCAATTCACTTCGTGAACTCGGCAACCAGGTTACCGGTTTTTTTTTTTACCTCCGTCTTTTTTTTTGGCGGTAACCATAATGGTGGTCGAGTAGATCATGTTGTGCGGGGTCGAGAACCCTCACTCCGCGCAAGGGGGATGATCGCACCACGTTGTGTTAAAATGGTCAAAGGACCCTCGAGGCAGTTACACAGTGCTTACAACTGTCTCTGGAAGTGAAAGCACCAGAAAATATATTAATTCATACGCAGCTGTCATCCGTACGCAAGGAAGTAAGCACAAGATGCCGAAAACCCTTAGCAGGATGCAGCGCACCCT